CTGATGTCCAACTTCTTTTATGTTAATAGGTGGGAGGCTGTCCTTCAATCTGCCCTGATGTCAGGGGCCTGACGTACATGCTCCAACCACCCCTACACATGTCCCATGCCTCGCAGATGACCAGACCAAACTCGGTGCACAGTTAGGCCCCTTGCTTACTGCTCCGTTCTGGCCCACACACGTACCACCCCCTTCTCGCCAGGGCCTCGTTCATTCCCCCTGCTCTCACCAAGGCTCTCACACCACCTGACATGGGTCTCTCTCATACCACTCCCTTGGGCCACACACACCCCACCCTTGCTCCCTTTGAGTGACCCCAGAGGGCCATCAAGCTTATCTCTTCTCACCTTGACCAGCAGGTATGCAGCCTTTTGAGCATCTCCCACTACCATCAGCTGAGCAAACGCTAGGCAACTTGCAGAACTGTGGGCCAACTTTGCCCCCACTCCCCTCACCGGGCCAGTACTCCGCCCCTTCTTCTCTGGGGCCACACTTTTCGCCCCCTCCCAGGGCCTCTTAACTCCTCCCTCTCCCAGGGTCACATTACTCTGCCCTCTCATCGGGCATGGGATTGAACACTCTCATAGGTACTGGTGAGCCTGGCCCACGACTCTGGTTAACACACCAACCCTAAGGTGGGGGCAGGGGTTTAGGTGCTCCAACTCACCTTACACTGGGGTGGTTCTCAAGCCTGGTATTTAAGTGGCCCTGCCCCACCACAGTCAGGACCACCAGGCCTTGCTGTCCCAGCAGGGTTCAGTTTCAGGTCATGTCCAGGACCAGTGAGGCCTCCTCCTTCCGCATAGCCTCACCCTTACTTCCGAAGTTTTCCAGGAGCAGCTCAGCCCAGTGTTGCCTCCTGGGTTTCTCCAACCAGACTGTTCTGCTCTTATACCAGAGCTCTCTAACATGGCTACACTAGTCAGACGCCTGGCGGCTGGCTGCTCCGGCCTTTAAAGTGCCAGAGCACTGAAGCTGCTCTGTCACAAGCTAGGCACCATATTTTTAAATACAACTGTTTAAATGCTTTTGTTTTAAATATTGATTTATATAGCAAGGAGTTGTCATTCTATATGTCGTATCCTAGCCTGGTACAGAACAGACTTAGATCGTGCAGGAGGTACTCGTCCCCACTAGGGAAAACGCCATA